TTCCATCCTTTCACTTTGAGATAGTGTCTGTCCTTGAAAGTGAGATGAGTTTCTTGCAGAAAACAAAAAGATGGGTTTTGTTTCTTAATCCATTCATATAGTCTGTGTCTTTTGACTGGGGAGTTCAGTCTGTTAATCTTTAAAGTTATTAATGAAAGATGAGTATTGAATCCTGTCATTTTTTTTGTTTACATTCTTGACTGACCTGAGATCCTGGATGTGGCCGTGCCATGCAGGGATGCAAAGGCAGATGGGGTGGGAAGAAGCCCCAAGATTTCCCAGGGAGTGGATTGGGTAGCTGGGTTGTACTGGATGCAAAGGATCAGGGAGAGGAAAGGTAAGCCTCGGAGCCCCAGAAAGAGGCTGTCAGCCCCAGAAAGAGGCTCGTGGGTGTTGCAGGATCAGGGAAGTAAAGGGAGGTGAGAGTGGGTCCAGGTCCAGAAGCAGTGCTCCTAGGGCCCAGGGAAGGCACTGAGTTGGTCTCGGTGAAAAAGATCAGGAAGCAGTATTGGTTCCCCAGGTGTCTGGGGACCCAAGACTAGGAATAGCGCAGGGCCCAAACTAGTAGAGAGCAGTGGGGGAGATGGAAGCGTGAATGTGGCTTGGGGAGTCAAAGCGTGGAGGGCTGCGCTATAGATTTACCCCAAGAGGTCTGAGGATGGGTGGGGCCAGGTCCAGAAGCGGTGCTCCTGGGGTCCAAGAAAGGCACTAAGTTGTTCTGGGTGAAAAGGATCAGGAAGCAGTATTGGTTCCCCAGGTGTCTGGGGCCCCAAGACTAGGAATGGCACAGGGCCCAAACTAGGAGTAGAGAACAGCGGTGGCGATGGAAGGGTGAATGTGGCTTAGGGAGTCAAAGCGCCTAGGGGGGCCAGGTCCAGAAGCGGTGCTCCTGGGGTCCAAGAAAGGCACTAAGTTGTTCTGGGTGAAAAGGATCAGGAAGCAGTATTGGTTCCCCAGGTGTCTGGGGCCCCAAGACTAGGAATGGCACAGGGCCCAAACTAGGAGTAGAGAACAGCGGTGGCGATGGAAGGGTGAATGTGGCTTAGGGAGTCAAAGCGCCTAGGGCTGTGCTATAGACTTACCCCAAGAGGTCTGAGGATGAGAGTGCAGGCTAGGAGAGTTCTAGTGTTTTATTTAAGCAAAGCAAAAATGTGAGAAAAATCCAAATTAGGAAATTCAGGGTTCAATTGATAATATCTAAACGTAATTGAAAAAAAATGTAATAAATGAAGCTTAACATATAATTTAAAGATATTATATACAAAGTAATTAACATTTAGTCAAATTTTGTCTGGGTGTAACTAGATATAAAAGTTTTTTGATGAAGTTTGTAAATATTTCAACAGAACTAGATTTTTGTCTTCAGTAAATGAAACAAATAAGCTACTATTCATCTAGCCTTTCCTTTCCTGAGTCTGTATGCCTTTCCAAACTTGGCAGAGTGAGTCTCCTTTGTGATCTCATCTCTCAGAGCAGCTTGGGTCTCATGGATTTTTCCCCACCCTAGACTTGCAGTCCTGAGCTTCTGTACCTGTGACTCCCTTGAGCCCTGCCATCTCATCTCTGTTCACTCCAGACTTGTGAGTTCCCAGCCTAACATATAATCAAAATTTAATCAAAATTTTCAGGAGAGAGCACCCCGCCCCAGCTGATCCAGGACACCATGGGTTCAGTCCTGGAAGCTCAATTTAAATGGTGCACCTATCCCTAGCTGAACAAGTACCACCATTTACCAACATTTTCCCCCATTTGCACACCAGCAGAAAGCTGCCCCCAAACTGAACAAGAAGCACTGATCAGCTGGGCTATAATCTAAGAAGTTGATAAAACAGAAAATAACAATTAAAAAAATTCTAGAAAGACTACATCACTTACCCACCACACAAGTCTAGATACCTATGTCTCATCAAAAAAGTGTAAAAACTCAATTATCCATGATAATATATCTAGTACAGTAATTATAAACTGCATTATAATGTTTACTGAGAAAGACAATCTACTGGATGCATAAGACAATGATTCAAAACTAGCAATTGTAGATGTGTACAAGGACCTCAATCAAAGAAGATATGAACAAAAAACTGAATGAGGACTTTGAAAACACAAATATTTGAATGAAATAACTAAACAATTCAAAACATAAACTTGGAAGTTAATAAATAAAATCTCTGAATAAAAGTCAAACTGAAATTAACTTGAAATGAAAAACTTAAGAACTTAAAAGAAAAGCTTAGAGGAAAGAAAGTAGAGGAAATGGAACAGAACAAATCAGAACTTGAGGAACAGCTTGGCAAATTGGATCAACCAATCAAAGAAAATATCAATTTTAAAATAATTCAGGATCATAAGATGCAAGACCTCTGAGACAGTGAAAATAGACCAAATGAATGAATCATAAGCATAGAAGGAGAATAAATGCAGACTGAATGTACAGAAAATATTTTTAATAAAAATCATAGAAGAAAATTTATTTTTTTCTTCTTGTCACAACATCGACTGAAGTAAACTGCACAAGTCGCTACTTCACCCAAAAGCAGTGTTTTTACTCTACCCCTTATTGAAGGCTCAATGGTTCATGAGCAAAAGGCCCATTCAGAGCTTATAAAAGGGGAAAAAGAAAATTTCTTAAATCTAGAGAGATACCTATCAAGGTACAAGAGTCATTCACAACACCAAATACAGGACTAGAAAAAAAATAATGATTAAAACACTAAATGTACAGAACAAAGAAAATATACTGAAAACTATGAGAGACAAAGATCAAATCACATATAAAGGCAAATCCATCAGATTAATAGCTGATTTTTTTCAATGGAAACTCTGAGGGCTAAGATGACTTGGAACGAGGTCATACAAATTATGAAAGAACACAGATTTCAGTGTAGACACTTATACTCAGCAAATCCATCAGTTGTAATAGAAGGGAAAAAAGTTCCATATTAAAAACAGTTTTAAGAAATTTATATCTGTGAAAACAGCTCTACAGAGAATATGCATTGAAATACTTCGGTCAGAAGAGATGATTTAAAAATTCTCAAGAGGACACAAGGAATAAATTGTCCCAGAGCATCCAAAAGAGGTCTGAGAAAACAGAATTACAAAACCAAGATAATAGGAATGAATAAACCAATAAATAATAACACTCAATATTAATGAACTCAAAGCTCACCTAAAATGATGCAGATTAATTCACTGAATTAGAAAACTGAATCTATATATCTGCAGCCTCAAATAAAGGCATCTCACCTACAATGTTTGACACAACCTTAGGGTAAAAGGATAGAAAAATATATTCCAAGCAAATGCAACTAAGAAAGAAACAGGTATAGTGTGCTGGATAGCTTTAGTTTTCAACATGACTATTGTACCAAGTTTTCCTGTGAGAGACCCAAGTCCACTCTCTGGGATCCCAGAGAGCACAGTTGTAACTAAACCATCACAACGTTTCTCTTAAGTTACAGTTCGTGGAATAAGAATATTTATTTGGGCTCACCAACAAAGTTTAGAGGGTCACTTACAAAACTTACAAAGACATAAACTCTCAGGCTTTTCCTTTCCCATATTTGAGACATGCACCATCGTGTCCATGGTCTCCACTTTCTGTTTCAAAATGGTGACTACCCCTTTCATGGCTGTGCTGGAAAGTCCACACTCAAAACATAAACCCTATGCCTTCCCTACAACCACACAAAATGGCGAGAGAACTGCTTCATGGCTTTCATGGCTTGTATATCCTTAGGCCCTCCCCTTCATGGAGCTAAATTCAAATAATTGGGTGGGAGATGTAATGGGCTTCTACCTCCTTGACTCCTTCCACAGAGCATAGGAAGGAGGTGGACCTATAGCTTGCCATCATAGTGGTCAGAGGAACTTCCAGGTCACAGGGACACACCTGTGAAGTGGGAACCTCAGCTGAGGAATTTCTTCCATTGGAATATCATTTTCCACATGTCTTTGGGGCATTTTCTTGATAGTTGAGTGGTGGGTGGTGCCATCCCTGGGTGCATCATCATGTGCTGTATAAGAAAACAGGCTGAGTGCAAGTCAGAGGAACAAACCAGTAACCAGTAACCAGTGTTCCTCCATGGTCTGTGCTCCAAGTACCTTCCCTGATTCCTGCTTTGGTTTCCTTGGATGATGAACTGTACTATAAACCAAATAAACCTTTTCCTCCCCACTGTGATTTTGCTCAGTGTTTTTATTATAGTAATAGAAAGCTACGAGATACAGATATTCTAATATTCAGCAAAATAGACTTCAAACTAAAAATAGTCAAAAGAGACAGGTAAGGGCAATTCGTACTTATTAAATAAAAAAAATCCACCAAAATGATATTTCAATCCTAAAATTGCATTCCTCTACACACAGGGGCCCCCAAGTGAAGAAAAGAAATTTTATTTGGCCTAAAATCTCACATTGACACCAACATACTGATAGTGGGTGGATTATACCTCTGTCACCAATAGAAAGGCAAAACAGATTTAAAACATACAAAAAAAGAAACCCTAATGTTACATGACACCATAAATCAAATGGACTTTATAAGTATCTACAAATCATTACACGCCTAAACCAAAAAATAAATTTTCTTCTCAGCAGCCTGTGGGATTTGCCAAAAATAACTAAATATTAAGTCAAAAATCAATTTTCCACAAATTTATGAACTATTATCTATTATTCCCTGTGATCACAAAGAAATATGGCTAGAAATCAACAATAATAAAAATGGGAATAAGTACACAAATTAATGGAAGATAAATATCATACTACTGTATGAAAATTAGATCAAGGGTGGAATCAAGAATGAAATTAGTAAATTCTTAGAAATGAATACAAGTGAAACTCAGGGCTGGAGAAATGGATCATTGGTTAAGAGCACTGGATGTTCTTGCAGAGGACCCTGGTTCAATTCATAGCACCCACATGGCAGCTAACAACTGTCTGTAACTCCAGTTTCAGGAGCTCTGACTCTCACTTTTTACCTCCAAGGGCATTGCATGACATGGATGCACCTACCCACATGCAGGCAATATAAACATACATCTAAAATAGAACAAAATGAAAATAAAATATTTTTAAAAAGTGAAACACAGTCTTTTTAAAAGATTAAAACCTCATCAACTTCATGTCTTAAAAGGGTTTATACTGAGTGTGATAATGTATAACTGCATTAATTCAATACTTTGCACCTAAAAAATTTACAGCCAATTTTGAAAGAAATGCATCTTTTCTCTGGAAACTGTTATTGACTATGTCAATGCTGTTATAATGAAATGCTTATGCTAATTATGTTGTTATTAAACAAACTTTAAAGAAAAGAAAAAAGTGAAATATTACAACAGCTCCTGAGAGAATTCAGAAAAATTTAAGAAAACATTTAAATATATATTTCAATAAATTATCAAAATTAAAAAATGAATAAATGTCTAGATATTTACAGCTTACTAAAAATTAAACAAAATTAATTAGTAATTTAAACAGACCCATAAAAATGAATGAGATAGAATCAAGAATTAAAAATCTCCCAACTAAAAAGTAGACAGCACCAGATGAATATACTACCAAATTCTACCAACATTTAAATAACAATTAATACAGTTACTTCTCAAAGCATTCTGTAAATTAGAAAGAAGGTAACGTGCCCAAATTCTTTCTATGAAGCCAGTATTATTCAAATACCAAAACCAGACAAAGACTCAACAAAAAAGAGAATTATAGACAAATCTCTCTGACAAATATATATGCAAAAATTGTCTTTAAAATACTACCAAACCAAATACAAGAACACATCAAAAAAGATTTTCCACCATGATCAAAATGACCTCATCCCGGAGATGCAGGTTGGTTCAGCATAACGGAATGAACATATGGAATCCACCACGTATATAAACTCAAGCACAGAAGCCAAATGACCATCACATTAGAACCAGAATAAACCTTTAACAAAATTCAATATCCATTCATTGTAAAATTCACAGATAATCTAATGATACCGGGGACAAATCTCAAAATAATAAATATGATCCCAACAGATACTATCATACTAAATAGAAAAAAAAATGAAGAATTCAGATCAAAACCTGAACAAAACAAGGATGTTCAATCTCTCCATTTCTCTTCAATATAGTACTTGGTCTTAGCTATAAAAATAAGTCAAATGAAACAGATAAAGGGGAAACAAATTGGAAAGGAAGAAGTTAAATATCCTTTCTTGTATAACTAGTATTCTGTATCTGCCAGGCACTAAAGAATCCTCCAGAATATTTCTAGAACTGATACATATGTTCATCCAAGCAGCTGTATATAAAATTAAGACAACACAAATTAGTAGCCTTCCTAAATACCAACAACAAATATACCAAAGAAGAAATTTGGGAAATGATCCCATTCACAATACCCTTAATATAAAATCTTTCATTGAATTTAACCAAAAAAGTGAGTAAAATGAACAAAAAAATAAGATATTGAAGAAAGAATCACAAGATGGAAAGACCTTCTATGCTCATGGATCAGTATTATTAACATAGGGAAAATTGAAGTCTCACAAAATCAGTCTATAAATTCAATGCAGTGCTCATTAAAATTGCAACACAATTATCCACTGAAATGGGAAAACACACTCTTATATTTCATAAGAAACCACAAAAAAGGCACAGCATACTCAAAATACTACTGAAGAACAAAATAATTTCTGGAGGCATTACCATTTCTGATCTCAGAGATCTATAGCAATAATAATGGAATGTTACTGGCATAAAACCAGACACATTTATCAGCAGGTTATAATTGAGGGCCAGATTTACATTGACAAAAAGGAGCCACAAATACAACCAGAAGAAAAGAGAGCATGTTCAACAAACGGTGCTGCACATATTGAAGAGCAGCATGTAGAAGCATGAAACAACATCTATCTCTCACCATGCAGAAAACTCTACTTCAAATGGATCAAGAATATCAACAAAAGATGTGATACTTTGAATTTTGTAAAGAAGAAAGTAGGAAAAACATAAAAACTTATAGGAACAGGAAAAGGCTTTCTGAACAGGACTCTTATAGTGCAAACTTTAAGACCCTTGTTTTGTATTAAATAGTTATAGCATCAAGCTGACTTTTAATGACTTATTGGTGTGGATCCACTCTGGGCAGCCGCAAGTCCACACCCCGCTGAGGGCAAGTGCAATGGACCAAAGACCACTCTGGGATCGTGTCAGAGGGCAGAACTCAACTATTTTTCAGCAGGCTGTATATATACACATAATCATCCAATAACAACATGAACAGGCACCCATTGAGGACCAGTGGTAGCAAAGGTCATCCTGATCATGCACTTACATCTAGCATTCAGGATCATGGGCTGATCTCTTGCCAGTCATGAGGAGGCAGAACAGTCAAAGCCCCGCGGAAGCATGATGCACTCTCAGGCCATCTGTGGGGAAAGGTATGGAAGGAGGTGGGCTATGGGGGGAGGTGCAGTTTAAATTCTCATACAGGAAATGGACCTAAGCTATGAAATGGCACCGGCAGGGCTAGAATTTGACCTACAATTGGTACACCCATAGATTAATGCATCTGCTATCTCTCAAAAGAAATACTTCCTTAAGGAGTAGATGA